TCAGGTAGGGGCCGGGCCAGGAACTGCAACGGCTGCTGGGAATGCAGGCAGTCAGGACATGCAGGTGACAAGGGCAGAGGGGAGCGCAAGCAGAATGGTGCAGGGAGGAGGATCCCAGGATGGCAGGATGGCCCAGGCGGTAGGTAAGTGGATGGTGGACTGGAGCAAAGGGGGGAGCGGGAGGCAAGCAGCTGCACCAGGCATGAGCACACAGTGAGGCAAGAAGCTGCACCAGGCATGAGCGCAGCACGGAGCGGTGCAGGGGAGGCACCAGGTACAGCGCTTCAAGGCAATCCATGGAGTGGCGGAGCAGTAGGGGAGAAGCCGGCACTGTGTATGGGGGTCTTATGTCAGGGACAAGCTTAGGAGGACTCGGCGTAGTGCATCTAGTTCATCTGAGATTAGCTCAACGGGCCGGAGGAGTGCCAGGCAGGGGAGCAGAGCGGAGGCAGGCATTGCAGGCGGGAGCGTAGGGAGGAAGGGCGGGTGGCGGTTCAGTCGAACAGACTACCCAGCTTGTCTTCTCCTTGCAGGTCGTGGAGCTCGTCATCTACGGTCCTGAGGCGGGACCAGGCGGCTGGGACCCGGAGAGGCGGGACCACTCCTGAACCTCGTGAGGTGGAAGGATAGACGGTGTCCCTAAGGCCATCTTCAGCCATGGGCTTGGGCGGTGGATAGGCGATTTCCTATGCGTCGGCCCAGCGGATTCCGATCGGTGTGGCCAGATACTGACGCGTCGGGGAGCATTGGTTTTGGGGCCTATCTGGCAGGCAGATGGTGCACGGAAGTGTGGCCTGAGTTCTGGAAGGTGAGTCCACTGATCAGGAACCTAGCATTTTTGGAATTCTTCCCGGTGGTTGTGGCAGTGGCATTGTGGGGCAAGGAGCTGACAAATAAGAAAGTGATATTTTATTCGGACAATATGGCGGTTGTACAGGCGGTTAATAGTTTGACAGCTTCTTCCATACCGGTGGTGCAGTTGCTGCGTAGCCTGGTGCTGCGATGTATGCAATGTAACATTGTGTTTCGGGCATGTCACGTGCCCGGGTACTTGAATGTACGTAGACTCGTTCGCAGTGGGAACATTTTCAGGAGGCGGTACCGAAAGCACAGAACGAGGGGCAGGCGTGTCCAGTCGAAATGTGGCAGCTCGGGACATCCTGCTTGGGGGATTCATTAGAAAGCCACTGGCACCATACATTGAGGTTTGGAATGAATGGGATGAGACAGTGGAGCAGACCGGTCACCAGCTGGCAGGCTTGATGCCCTCCTATGGATCCTGTGTCAGTTGTTCGCGAAGATGGTGTGGCAAAACCGACCTCGCCACTGGGCATTGGAGAAGGCTGATAGCCAGCCTCCTGCCATGTGACTATGGCCCCTGGGATGTATTGCCCTTTAAAGACATTATTTGGGCTTATTAGATCTTGAAACTTTTTCTGCCCCTTTGAATACATGAGAAGATGTGCCCCTCCCCGTTTCCTGTCTATTGTTCTCCAGCAGGGTGTTGTCCCAGGGACACTGCCAGACCAGTTGGAACTTCTTGCTATGGTTTAACCCCATGGTGATTTGACTGTGTTTGTGGAATCTGAGCGCTGTTCGGATATAGTGAGCGCTCAGATCCAGTCTATCTGGGGATTCTGTTAAGTATAATAGGAATTATGTAGTTTTATGTGTTTTTACTGTTTTTGTGAATAGAGCTATTTTCTGTATGCAGGAGGTAATTGGCTTACCACACCCAAGCCATGCTTGCAGACGGTCACTAAGGGACTTCCAACTAACTTTTGACCCACTGGACCAATTTGTATGATTTTGACGTATGTTTGTATTATTATTATTTGGAGTATGCTAATTCTGAAAATGTAAGTGAATGTGATGTATACTTTTAGAGTTATGAATATTGTGTAAAACTGTGCATTTTCCTGCCTGTGATAATTACATTAGACCATTGTGTTCAGTAATTATATCACAGGCAGAGGGGAGGATTTTGTGTGGGAGTGTCTGAGTGTATTGTACGTATTGATTTGTTGTTCTGCAAAACCCTGTGGGCAGTACTATGTGTGTAAAATGTGCATAAAAACAGTGTGTGTTTGATTAAAAGCTTCAGTTCTACTTCACCCTCAAATTTGGAGTGCCGTCTCTTATTGGGGTAATCTGCTACAAGGGATTGCTATGCTAGTCATACACTCTTGCTATATCAGTACTAAGCTCTTGTAAGAGCTTGTTCCTGTCTAGCTCTCTGGAGGAGTCTACGGTGGCTATGGTGTCTGTTGCAGTGCTTGGAGCCCTCAGGAAGCGCTAGGAGCATCCTTCAACGGAGGTACCCAGTTGGGGTGCCCGTCGGTTCGTTACAGATGGCATCGCCATCCATGATTGATCGGTACTTGGCAGCGATGGCATTTTTAAGTTCAATGGTTGGGAGGATGTGAAAAAAAAATGTTCTAGTTCGCCAAGCGATTCGGGGCTTCCGGAAGTGGAAAACGTCAGTGGACACAAGGGGACTGGTCTTATTTGATGTCCTGCAAGGGCTGTTGGGAGTTTTACTGGTGGTGTGTTTCTCTTTGTATGAGATGGCGCTATTCTCAGTGGCCTTCGTTTGGGCATTTTGTGGAGACTTCCGAATCAGGGAATTGAAGTGCCAACCGATCGGGTCACGGCGGGATTCGGCGCGAGAACTTTGTGGTTAGGGCGGATAGGGTGTGGATTCGCCTGGGTAACTCCAAGACAGATGTCTACGGTAAAGGATGCTCCGTGGTGCTGTTTTCTCTGCCAGGGTCTGCCCGGTTTATTGTAGGGCTAGATTCCTGGGTCTGCGGCCTGTTTCTGAATCCATGTGGATGGTTCGGCACTGTCTCGGTTCCAGCTTACTCGAGTGTTCCATATGGGTCTACGGAGCCTGGGCTTGGACCCAATGCAGTTCGGGACGCACTCATTCAGAATTGGGGCAGCGACGGAGGTGGCGCGCCTGGGTCTGGGAGATGAGCAGATAAAGAGGATAGGGAGGTGTGAATCTATTCGGTTCCGCTCATATTTAAGGCCGGACTTGTTGGTTTAACAGGGTGCGGGAAGCAGGATTGTTGATGTTGTTTTGCTGTTTCTATGTTTTGTCTCTTTCTATGTTGGACAGCTTGGCTGGTGGGACACTCATACGTCTATTGGGCGCAGAGGAGGGCCGCAGTTCGGAGACGAGGAGAACAACTGGGCTTTCCTCAGGAGATGGTGTCATTGGTTTGGCTAGGCTTTCGGGGTTACAGTTGGCAAAGCATTGTGGGTGAGATGTTTCAGAGGATAGTGAAGGGGGTGACCCCTGATGTGGTGTTGATTCATGGTGGGGGGAATGATTTCGGTCTAGTCCCCCAGAGAGAGTTAGTCTGGTGGATGAAGAGGGATGTGGACTGGCTGTGGGGGCAGGTCCCTGGCGTGGTGGTAGTGTGGTCGGAGATGGTGCCCTTGTTTAACTGGAGACACGCCAGGGACATGGCCGCAGTAGCCCGATGCTGGGGAAAGGTGAATAAAGCTACATTTGTAGATTGGGTGGCCTGGCGGTGTGCCACAGGGAACTGAAGGGCATGATCCCCAGGTATTTTAGGAGAGATAGAGTGCACCTGTCAGATGTGGGGTGCAATTTACTGAACCTTGGTTTTCAGGAGGGTATCACCAGGGCCCTGTTTTCCTGTGGTTTGGGGCGCCCATGAGCTTTAGGAGTCAAGTCATGTGCTGTGGCGGGGAAGGGCTAGGATAAATGGGAAGTAGGTGGAGTATGAAGTGGTCATGGCAAGGTTTAGGCTGGATTAGGCTGGAGTGGTTCAGTAGGTTGATAGGTTCGAGCTCATCAGTGGCTCCGAACCTGGGAGTGTAGGGGTGTTTCGGTACACCACTACAAGTCAAACAGTTGGTAATGGGGCCTCTTTGGTAGGCCGTGTGTTATATTATATGTTATTTATACTGTTATTTATTGTTTAGTGATATGGGGTCATTGCCAGGGGTATTTATGTACAGAGGGGAACTGTATTAAAGTATTATTATTATTATTATGTGGCAATGACCCCAATGTGTTAATTTATGTTTTAATTAAATAAAGCTATGGACTACATATTTCCAACAGAA